TACTATTAGTCAAATATGATATTTGCCCATATATTTGTCTATATGTTTGCCTACATGACAAATCCATTTTTTCGTCGAGTGTATAACTTATCGATATTCTTGGCAAATTGTTTTTATTAAACACTGAAGTCAGAACTATTAAACGGAAAAATGCTGACTCGGACGAAGTCTTAAAAGTTTATCAAAAGTATAGACTATTTATCGGCTATTTATTGAGAGTAAATCGTTAAAATTAATTGCTGAGAAAATCTTTCGTACTCGTAGCATTCGCTGAAAGTTTAAAATCTACTCCACTCTTGTATGGTCGAGACTGAAAATCTAATACACCCTGCATTGCTTAAGCAAGAAATCTGCATGCATATTTTGGAAAACGAGTTAAGAAAATTAGGAAAAATTTGACCCGGCTTTTCGTAAAATCTGTGGATAGATCTCATTGATCAACGCATCAATCCATCGCGGACAACAACTTCTAATATTTATTGGACCACGGCCATTGCGATATCGATATTGTCATAATAATGAAAAACCTCTTCATGTATGAAAGAAAGTAAGTTCTATTACAGGGGCAGAGTCTTTTTATTCAGATTATTTTCTTACTAAAACTTAGAACCCTCAGTACCATTTCCTGCGCAAGCGCCATGCCGTGCCTTCGTGGAATTATTACAAGTTCTCCCTCTTCGAGATTTTTCCCGCGCGCTTCATTTTAGCGTGTGATAATCTTGCTCTAAGATTTAATACATTTTCTTCTATTTATAATAGTCTTTGTCCTTAGAGTTGTGCATGTCAACCAAAATCTTAAGAGAACAACACCAGATAATCTTAGTTGGCAAGCAAAAGACTATATGACAATACCGATGGTAATATAATAAATAATTATCATCTGAACCTAACAACACTAGTTTAGGCTGACTTTTTGAGTATCTTTGGAAAATTTGTACGTCAAACGGTTGTTATTGAGTAGAGTTTTTAAATATATAAGGGTACAAATGTACTGGTTTAGGTTATTAGGCTCGTTAAAGTCGTTATTCGGCTCGTTAAAGTCGTTAATATTTCCATATGAGACAAAATCGAAGTACTTGTTGAATAACGAGCACAGACAGTTGAAACAAAGGCAAAACAATCCAAGTGAACTTTGTGCCTTTTTTGTTTAGCTTTGAACAAAGGATGCATGTCAATGTTTGAAATCAAACAAACTGATGTTTCTTGATATCTTTTGGCTTCACAAATGTTCCCAAATACTATATGTCGAGAGTGTCCTAGAATATTAATATCTTTTAGTTAAAAAGAATTTTCATTTAGACTGAAGTACTAAGATGATGACCCCTTATTCATAATCAGTTTGATCCTTTTGTAAAAAATTTTGGATAAAGAAAAGCTGTCATTGATGAGTCACTTGGGACTGACAAACGCAGGTTCTATTTTACCGGTCCATCTAAACATACGCCTGTAAGACTTGAATATTTGGTAAAGAAGTGCCTTGATGAAAGATTCAGTTCTAAGATATGATAAAACAACAGTTACTTTTTATTTTCTGAGCGAAAAAGAGAAACAAGATGAAAATGCTGACAAAACAAAAGTTGTTTGTACCTATTCCTAAATTATTAGTGTTTTTCAATGTTCCGATTTGAACATGCCAGTTACGTAAATCGTACGTCTCTTCGTTTACACGTGACATCATAGACCAAGAAAATAACAGTTTAAAGTTAATTATGAATGCTATAAACTTTGATCTTTTGATATCTTTTAGAAAACTATAATGTGACGAAGTGTAGAACTTTCAGATCGTTTCACCGTTTTGTTTTAGAGTTGTGCAAATTTCATTCCCCAATCGGTAATACTCACCTTACGTAGATTAGAATATGTGGACCGCGTAGCACTTACGTTGATTAGATGACTGAGTCAAAAAGATGAAAAATCTTCCCCAAATCAAGCATTTTTAGTGTTGTACAACTTTTTAAATTCAATTTGAAAATTTTTTATTATCAATTTATTAATACATGTTCAAAATGAATTTGATAAATTGTTGTCAATGAATAGTTTTTTTGAAATTTTGGCCGCCATGTTGGATGATATTAGATATCATCCAGCGAATTTTCGCCATACATTTACACACAAAAAAACGGTCACTTTGTTCGCTCCGAGCTCATTTCAAAAATGCTCTTATATGCTTCAATGTTTTGCTCAGAGTTGTATGACTGATAGCTCTACATGGTCGTAAGGATTGTTTTTTGATTGGCACCAAAAAAATACTTTGGCACCAGCAAAATACACGTGTTGCAAACGGTCTTGAAGTTTAGGTTTTAAAGCTGATTGATTGTTCTTGGTTCTCCAATTTGAAAGTGATATAAAATAAGCTTTAATTTGAAAGGCTTAACGACTTGATAGATCCTAATTACAGAATAGGCCCAGGATGTCAACTGATGTCAATTTGTTAAATAGCTCTTCAGCTGGGCCCGGGGTACTCATTTTACTAGCATTAATTATCGTTGAAGTGCGACCCACGAAGTACCATGTCTAGTGCGCGTCTAGCATTAAAACGACCGTCAATCAATTAAACTGCAATAAAAAAGCAATATCTTGAGGGAGATTTTAGACTGAATTAAAGATATTTTAAGATCTTTTTTTAAGACTGAAATATTCTAAACCTCTAAAATCTTTAATTTAGTCCAAAATGTCTGCATCGTGGCACGCGGCTGTCAACATCGCAGGTAGACTGCCGATTATTTTCCCATATACATTTAACATCGCCGAGAAGTCTGGGACAGTCTGGGACATTTGGGGACTACGCCGACATGCCGTAAGATTTGAACTCGACTAAAATTTTGCAGACATATGCCGGCGACAAATTTACCCAGTCTGCGATGCCGGTGACAAAGTGTTTCCATGATCAGAGTGGCGTCCCCGGTAGTACCTGCGGTGGTATCGCCGGGGTGTCAACGGGGTGTCACCGACATTTGGAACTAGGCTTGACTGAGAACGGCTGTAAATAAAGAAGTAAAAAGCAAAAAATGGGATATTCCAAAGAGACTATAGTAAATCATGCAGATTATTATTTTTCATGTACTTGTGCCAGAAAGGCATCGTTAAATCCTGTCGAATAATGAAGTGTCAGAATCTAACTAACTCGATAATAACATTATCTTGCAGTGTATTTCCAAATGCAAAATATTACCCCAAGGCATTATAGGTTAAGTAGATCATAACGGTACTGTATTTATTTTATTCTATAGCAGAAAACCCAAGAAAGATTGCGAGTCAAATACCATGCTTAATTCACCGCTTTAAGTGACCTGGCTGAGAACTTAAGTGACCTGGTTGGTTTATGAATCGCTATGGAAACAAAACGTAAAATCAGACGAAGCCGCAGCCTTAGTGACATTCTCAAAGTCTGTATTCCAAACATTGTGGAAAAGGAGAACAAAGAAATATGTAAAGATGAAGAAAAGTCTGTAAAGGCAACCGATTGTAATGGCAACGAGCAAAAAACAGTTTCTCTTGGAATCAAAGAATTGTACAAAAAGAATGCAACTAGTACGACAAATGACGTGGCTATAGCTGCGTCATCTCACGTTAATAACGATCAGTCAAAGGCTCTACTAACAGCAACAGGGCCACAAAAAAAGAAACCATCTCGGAAGTCGCACAGACGAAAACGCCGTGCTACACTTGCTGACTTGTCTTGTATCGATATCCTAAAACCTATACCTGAAATGCAAGAAGAGGAGGACGAATTCAATGCCCTTAGTCAGACAAATTTGTTGTTTCAAAGACAATTTTGTAAGGACAGTAAAGTTGATCAAAATGACATAGGACAAGAACCAAGAGATGTTGATGATGAAAGTGGGTCGGGACAAAGGCAGTCGTGGCGGGATGAGGTGCGAAAGGAGATGCAGCAATGGAGAGATGACTTTGAAAAACTGCCGTATCCAGAGAATACTCACAATGATATACGTCCCCTTAATGGAGCAAACGGTGAAAGTTTCGAACTACGCATTGAACCATCGAAAGAAAAGAGTGACCCAAATAGAACAGATTTAAACGTCGAAGAACAGGATGCACAAGATGATTCAGATGAGGACAACGATGAAGATGTCGAGAGTATGGAATTGAAAGAAGCGCTGTCAAACTATGAGATAGCATACAATGTAAACGAAGATGAGAATACCAATATTTTTGAACGTTTACAAACGAATTATAAGAAAAATAGACAACGTTCAGATTCGCTTTCTTCTCTCACTACTAAAAGTTCTGGATCTGAAAGGTCATCGTCATCAGTATCTCCTGTCGATGAAAAGCTACTACATGAGAAAATGCAAACAGTAGAAGCTCCAAAACGCAGGCGAAGATTCAGTACTAGTGACTTACACCTGAGGTGTCTGCTACACGCGTTACCATCAATTAGTGAAGAAGGCAAGAAAAATAGTTTCTCTTCATCTGGATCAAGTGATAGCAATGAAAGTATACCTGCTACAGATCTGATGAGAAGACGTTCGGGTAGTTTGCCAAATATTTTAGCCTTCAGACAAGCTATAATAATCAAACCACGAAATGATACTAAAGTAGACGGACCTAAAAAAAAAATTGATGAGGAGGATGACAGCTCTCACAAACAACAGATCAAACCTGAGCATCGTGAAGTAACGTCGCTAGATCAACCTCAGTTGACGCCAAATGCAACTGCTTCCAAAACGTCGAATAGAAGAAACAGCATGTCTGTAATCGAAGACGTAAGACAGAAAAGTTTAACTGATCCTGCTTCTGCACAAAACGGTGATTTACCAGATTTTCCATTGAGTATCGAAAAGAATGTTAGTATTTTAGAAAATGGCGTTACAAAAGGTTCCATTGAATCAAAAAACCTTGTGAAGGCTTTGGGACAAAAGATGAGAGCCTCCATACGAAGGCGGAATTCTATAGCTTCGTTAAAGCCCTGGACAGGAATAGTTGAAAGATCATTAAGATTATCCTTTCCGCTTCTCATGGATGAAGAGAATGAAGACGGAACGAAGGATAAGGTGGAGGAGATCCAAAAGAAAAACACTAACTCAGAAGCTGATTATAAGTTATTTTTCTCTGGGCATTGTAAGAATCAAAAAAAAGATAATGTAAGTGTAGTCAAAGGAGAAAATTTACCAGATTGTCAATTACACCAAGATTTTACAACATCAGCCACCGGCAACTGCCTTGTTTCAGGACTTGAATCACAGCAAAGCAGAAATAGCGCGTTCACCCAACAGAAAAAGCGTTATGGAGCTGACAAAGAAAAGGATCTTAAAACAGTCGAACAAATTTTCGAAGTTGTAAAGAATGATCACAAGAAGATAAATGAAAGCCTCACTGGAGAAGAATTAGAAGCACCAGCAAAAACGTCTTTATTGTCCAAAAGTGCAAACGAGATGCTCCAAAGCAGAGTTTCGACATTTTCCAGACGTTCTTCGGTGAAAGAAATACCAGTATCAAAACCTATGAAAGTCCTAAAGTCAACGTCCAGTCAAAAAGGCACTCTACCTCCGGAATCGCCCAAATTAGAGAACAAGAGAAAAGTACCAGTAGGAAGAGCCTTATCTAATCCATTACCCAAGACTTCTCCTAGCGTAAATCGTCCTTCAAGTCCTTTAGCTTTTTATGAGAAGAATCAGGGCATGAAGCAAGAGTCCTTATCTTCATGGAGCGTAAAAGAAAAACTTGACAAGGAAAGACCAGCGAAAACATCTTCTAGTACTCGTCCTTCAAGTCCTTCCGCTTTTTATGGGAAGAATCAAAGCATCAAACAAAAGTCCTTATCTTCATGGAGCGTAAATGAAACACTTGACAAGGAAAGACCAGCAAAAACAGCTTCTAGTACTCGTCCTCCAAGTCCTTCTGCTATCGTCACCAAGAAAAAGGGCGCGAAACAAGAGTTGCCATCTTCAAAGAGCACAAATGGAAAAGCTGATGCCAAAACACCTTCAAATCGTCCGCCCAGTCCTTCGAATATTACAAGGACTAATCAAGGCATAAAGCACGAGGTGGCAACTTCCAATAATAGTAGAGGAACACTTGCTAAAGCATCTCTCAGTCGTCCTCCAAGTCCTTCAGCTTTGGCAAGGAAGAATCAGGCCATCAAGCAAGATTCCTCTTCCTCAAAGAGTGCAAAAGGAACAACACCTGCTAAAGAAACACCGCCTAAAACACCTCTCAATCGCCCTTCTAGTCCATCAGCTGTTGACAGGAAGAATCGGAGCATGAAGCAGGAGTCTTCATCTCCAAGAAATGTGAAAAGGACACTCGATAATGAAACAACACCGAAAACAGTTTCCAGTTGTCCTCCAAGTCCTTCTGCGTTTACCAAGTCAAATCACTGCACAAAGGAAGGGTCCTCTTCCACTATCAGTGGAAAGGGAATAAATGAAAGTAAATCATCAAGTAAGACCCCTTCAAAACCTTCCCCAAAAGCAACAGCACAAGCATCTAAGAGACCATCTTCGCCAGTGACTAGAAAGAGGAATACGAAGTCGCCTCAGGTTACAAGAAAAGCTAGTATAAATTCAGAGTTCACTGAAAAGAAAGACGTTACTACCACGGTGCCTAATACGCCGAAAGACCAGGGAGCGCCAAGGAGACATTCATTGATATCTAATATGGAGGAAATACCTAAGGATAACAGTGATAGAGCTCTTGAAGGCATTGCGCCAAATGTCGAGACGTCAAAAACAACTAATATTGAGGAGAACGTGACCTCGGTTCCTAAGAAGCAGGTTATGGAAATGGAAGAGAAGCCAATAATTGAACGAGTTAGTAAAGAAGTAAAAGATCGCAAACCTGAGAAAGTCAAGGTATCTATAGCAGACGTATCTAAGGTTACTCCCATCGAAAATATACAAGAGAGACCGCGAGAACGCAAGACATATGTGAATGTTATAAGGCGTCCACTATCTTCATCTCTCGTAATCACCGTCCCGGCTTCTTCCCCCGAGAAAGAGAAAGAAGATCAACGTAAGCAAGACAAACATTTCTTTTCTTCAGGGATTAATCAAGAAGAAGTTTCTTTGACGAAAAAGAAGGAAGAAAAATCGAACGCTCTTTCATTAGACAACTCAACAGACAAATCTAGGTACCAAGAACTTGGCAAGAAACAAATGAACGTCGATCAAAATCTTGATCAAGGTATTGAAAGAGAACTTGACAGCTTTGGATCACTCCTTGAAGAATTTGAGAATTCTCCTCTACAAATCAAGAGCAGCACGAATAATGATAATTTAGAGCAAATAAAGGCGCAAGATAATAACGAAAGTAGAACATTGAATGATGCAATACCAACGGAAAAAAGATTTGCAGCGTTAAGTGAGCGGTACAACGCGATCATGTCCAAGTTTGGAATGTTGAATGAAACTCCATCGAGTGAAAGGCCTACTGTTGCGACCACATCACCGACAACAACCGTAGTCGCATCGCCAGTACCTGATAACAAATCCAGCCAAAAACTTGGGGTCAGCTTAACGGTACATGAAAATACGAACAAAGCTAGAAGATCCGTCCTACCACTGTCTGAGGATAGAGTCAGTAAAGTTGTAGCCGGCTCATCAGTAACTGAGAAAAACGGGATTAAAGTTGGGATGACATTGGAAAAACCCGAGTATAAGGTCAAAAGTTGTGAAGTTAGTATACCAGAATCTATAAATACCATCAGCAATGAAGAGGATTGTTCACCAGTACTCGTGGAAAAGTCGGTTGGGGCCAGTTTTCCAGTTGAACCAAGTTTACCTCTATCCGAGAACAAAGCCACTTCAGCAGTCGTATCTAAGGATAATATCAGGAAAGATGAGATAATGTTGCCAGTTAATGAGGTCAACAGGGTTAATACACCGGTACCTGATGCTGGAGTCAGGAAAGGGGAAGTAAGCACACCATATTTTGATAACATAGTCAGGAATAATGGCGACAGCTTACAAGTGTCCGAGGATAAACTTAGCAAGCGCACTACAACCACAAGTGATATCGACTTGCTTCATTCATCTTTTGATGGCAAACAGACAAAAACATCACTGGACACACCTTTTTCGGAAGAAAATAAAGAAAAATCAAAATCAAAATCTTCGACTCCAATATTAATGTCTGAATTACCTACATTTGGGAGCTATTCTACACCATCAGTGCCAATAAAAGTTGCTGTTGCAAAGCTATCGCCTCTTTCCAGTTGTCAAGACGCAAGTTACCTTTCTATCATTTCAAAAGTCGACAAGGAGAAAGATCAAAAAAAGGAGAACGAGGGAGCAGAAAATCTCAAGGCTACTCTTATGAAAGTAGAGGGAAAATCCGTTATTCTACAAGGAAAGGTTCCTTATATCAAACAAAATGTGCAGTCCCTAATAAGGCCTGTGGAAGATCCTTTGATGCCCACAGCGAGCCACGATGATGAAGAAACGTCTGCTTTAGCAACTGATGAAACCTTTGGTGCTTTATCTGAGAACACGAAGAACAGCTATGAACTTTGTAGAACAACTGTAATAGCACGTCTGATTGATCGCAAACTTGGTCCAAGACGAAAAACGAGCATTGTGCCAACATTTGCCGCCAGAACGTCTAAAGTTTTTGATGACTCGGAGGCAGGGATGAAAGGGATTCCATTCACCATGCGGCACTTCAACAGATATCGCGATTACATCGAAAGAGTAACCTTGAAATCTACTGTTAGAACAGAGGTAAGAAGTATTTTTGCTGCATGAGTCTACTTCTATGTTATGAAAATACCTAATTCCCTTGCCAAGAGGTCATTTCAAATTAAGTTCTTTTAAATTAGAAGATATAACTAGCTAAAAACTAGTGTGAGCTGCGTCGGTGTTTCTAATGAAACAGTAATGATGAAAAGGTAAATTATACACCGTGAAAAGATGAAAAAACTTACTGACGTTTCGGACGCTAGTCCTTCGTCGGAGTAAAAGAGCTCTTTTACTCCGACTAAGGACTAGCGTCCGAAACGTCAGTACGTTTTTTCATCTTTTCACGGTGTATAATTKACCTTTTCATCATTACTGTTCTTTTAAATTAGTTTAGTTTCCAAGTATACTTTAACAGTGCTGTATTAATTCTAGAAGCTTTCTTATTTGCGACGTAAGACTAAAATCATTGCTTCATTTTTTCCTTTCTGAGGGAAATATTCCAATTAATTTTCTTTTCTTTTTTATTCTTTTTTATGTGTGTGAAAACCATTGTGCTGATCAGAAGCTGTGACACTAAATATCAATAGTGGTTGACATTGGTCTCATTATTTCTTCTAGGCCTTGTCCATTCATGATATTCTACACAATCTAGATACTTCGTTAATGGAGATGGAGCTGGTATCGCTGTGCAGAGAATGTACCAAAACACTGAGGACACTTGACGCTTTGGGAAGCTTACGTAAGTCAGACAATATTATTACCTAAATTTCAAATCGATCTGTATGCACTGGGGCATGTTCGGCATGTCCTGACTTCGTTTAGTTTTAGGGTTTGCACGCCTTAATATGCACAATGCATTAATTTTGTTTTCAACATTTTTCTATACTTTATGCAGCTTCGTATTTGTCACCTAACACAGTCATCGTCAACCCAAGTGGAACGATCAAATTCAGGCATCTCAGCACAGGTAAATGTTTAGACCAAAGCAACACAGGGAGCCCATGTGACAACACGTGAAAGAACAGTAATCTGAAAATAAATTCTTACTTTTATAAATCACTTCAAAAACAAATACCCTTTTCGTCAGAAAGTTATTTTGGAATGCCTAGATCATTAGCTTTTCAAAGTGAGGCATTTGCACTCATGTACATGCCCTGAAATAATTCACAAAGCCGGATTGCAAACTAACCCGAGACAGATATGTCCCGAAAGATTTAAACTTATTTAAACGTCGCCACGAATTTCATCTCAAAAAGATATTCAAATTCCGAGTTCTAGTAAATGCCTGGCAGATTCCTTGCTGGATCAATTGAAAAAAGTCATATAAATACGTTCATTCTAGAGAGATCCTCGACCACAATACATCCCTAACTAAAAGCCTATTAATGCAGAGTATGACATATCTATCTCATCGGAAACTTGAATACTGAATACCAACATATTTTTTTCATCTCAATGACATATTTAACCTTGATGCGCGCGCACTGTAATCATCGCACATATTTCTCGCATGAAAATTGTTTATAGTTTTATAGCTGAGAACATAGCTGTAGACGTATCGATTATACGAATGGTTTGTACAGATATAAGAATATAATGTATTTCCATCATAAGAGTTAACCGGCAATCGCTAGACGGCGTGATATCCCTTAGCTCGACATGCTTTGTATTCCGTACATCAAATTAAATTACGACAGACATAATTAGCCTAGTGTAGAAATATGAATGTAATATCACGTGCCTTTTTAGAGTTGACTGGGGGCAAACAAGTGGTTGACTGGGGGGGTAACTAGCGGATTTTAAGTCAAAACATATCAAAATAAGTCCTCAAACTATCGTATCCGACTATTTTCTACGATATGAAAACAGAAAAAAAGAGATCAAAACAACCTCTAAGATTCTACAAGCCATTAAAAACGCAACTATTGCCGGAAGTGACGTCTATTAAAAAACAAACCCCCTCACATGAAAGATCACACTAAAATGATTGAGTTTATCGAGTTTGATGAATTAATTTTAAATGCTTGCTACTCAGTAGGTAATTATCCAAACATGATCAAACTCGGTAATAGTACTAATATTTATATAATCTTTTTTGTGTCGGGAGCATTTTTTGATTAGATTAATATTTTCACTCGGCCCCAGTCCCTTTCTCAATTCCGAAAAGGCTAACTGATATCCTTGGTTGAGCCATTTCTATTTTTTTGTAATGATGAAAAAGCAGAATTCAACAGATAAAAAGTAAATTTGCGTAAATATATGATATCTATATACTCGTAAATAAAATATATGTTATAAACGTTTTCATAGCATGGAATATAGTTTCTCTAAAACTAGATTTCAATATCATAAGACAGGCTAAAGATTTGAAGGTTAAAGTTTTACTAGTAAACCTCCCATAAGTTGATCGTAGGCAATTCAAGATATACGCAACAACTTTGGAGCCCTACTTCTGCTTTCCTTTGTCAAAACATCTTTACCAAAAGTCACAGAAACTTAAAATGGTTCTAATTCATTCCAAAATACTGACCAAAATGATGAATATACTTTCTCCACAGATGTAACCATAGATGAGCTCTTTTTGGCGCCAGAACACACCAAGAAATTCTCTTCTGAAAAGGTAAGACGAAATCGAAATCGTCTAAACTATTGACAGGCATATCTCAGCATTCTCCATTAATACATTTTTTCGACAATATTACAAGCTAGTACGTTGGTTCGTTGTTTTATATATTTTTTCTGCTCTCTCTCTCTGATTTGTGTGAGACTATCCGACTGGCCATGAAACTGCTGCAGTGAAATGGCTTTTTCTTACAACCAATCAAAAACCTCGATGGCCCAGTTTCAACCAATCACATTGTTACAAAGTGGCGTAGCTTTTTCGACAAGAAAAGGCAAATATTTTTCAATTCTTTAGTTACTTTTTTACTCAGTTTTTCGCTTCTTTTTCTTGGTTTTCATTTGGTTGTGTATATATGTCAGTACAACGCTACATTATTAACCTTTACACTAGCTTTTTGGAATCGAAATTTAATTCTAATATTTTTAGTTCTCACGTTGCCAGATTTCAACAAAAACTCGTGCTCGAGTTGAAATAAGTAATTTTAGCGACGTGACATTTTATGGTTTCTTTGTTCATTCGGTAATCAAAGAAAGCAAACAATAGCTCACGCTGAATTACAATTCAATAGAAGTTAGCCGAACTAAGATTCTTCTGTTAAACGAAGCATGTAGTTGGTTGTCTTTCGTCTCTTGTAAAGTGAACTACTGAACGTCTACAAACACAGCTTCTGAGACTTTCCGGGCAGTCTCTCTGTTGCTACAAAAGTTATTTGAAGTGTAAGCATAACTTAATGTGGAATTTTTATTGGAACAAGTCGAGCACTCGAAGCGTTGGCATCTCTAAGTAAGTTCAACTGTAAATACTGTTTTCACATTCGTGCATGAACTTCAAGAAGATTCACTTGCGTTATTAGGTGTCAAATTTAAACATTAGTGTTTTCCAACAAAAAGTTGAAGACATCTTTTCTATTCACAAATTTGAACTGCATGAGCTACACCTCGCATCTTCATGTTTAATTTGAATGCTTCAAACTCTCTTTGGAATTATATGGACTGTTTACTTGATTAGTTTACTTAGAGTTTTGTTTGAGCACGAAGTACCGCTAACGCACGGTTTTCGAGCACCGGTTTTCGCGTCCCTGTATTTTTGTTTACTAAATATCGAAGAACTCTTCACAAATTTCCTGGTTGTTATGTAATGCAAAGACATATTTTTGCATGGATTCTGATAAGCCTAGGTTCTATTGCCATTAATAAGTACTTTTAGTCCATAACAATCACAACACACTGCACGAATCAAGAAGTATGGACAATAGTGAGGACAAGAGCTCTCGAGCGCTTTGTTCAAAGCGACGACTGGAGACAGAGAATTAGCCTACTTACTCATTAGCCTGATGGGTCTATTGTAGTTTTGTTTCTTTACGAAATGCCTTCTTCCGCTTTATATTTTCTTTAATTTACTTTTACACGGGAGAAATTGAAGAAACAACACCTCTCATATCTAGAAGTTACACTCAAGAATGTGGATGGAGTTTGAAAAGTCGAAAGAAAACTCCCAAGTGCTTCGAAATATCTTTTGAATTTGGCTTGAAAAATGAATTCAAATTCAATTTCCAATGAACTTTGCCGATAATGTTTTGGTTTTATTTGTGACGAAAGTATATATTACAAATATCCTTTATTCAAGGTCTAGGAAACTTTGCGTAAGTTGAAGACTTAAGAAGGCATTTTACTGCAATTTTATAAACATGTGAACTCTGTGTGCCGTCAATCAAACCTAATCAGTCGGTACCTTTGATATTTTCGATTGGCGGCAGAAAAAAAAATTCAGCGTTCAACTCAGAGACACAAATCCGCATGTTTATGGAAAATACAGTAAACAATATAAAGAATTAAGTACACATGGCTGAATATGATTTCGCATTCAGTCTAAATTAATTGAATTAATATGAAAGAAATTTGAAACTAATAAATATATGAACACAAATGAAAAAGTCGTTAAAATTTCGGAATTTTCTACAATATGACTTTGGTAATTTTTAGTTAATTTAGTTTCTTATTAAAAAATCTTTATGTATTTTTTCGTTGTTTTTGTCATGGAGTGTATGCATCGTCACTGTAAAACCTTTGTTTTCTTTCGTTTCAGACGTGTGTTTTTAGTTTAGCAGTTACGATATGGCTGGCTGCTGACTGGAAGCTTACCGAGCACAAGAAGCCAGCCTTATCCAGAAAGTTCCAGGAACTTCTTGTTTCTATGACAACAGACTCGTCTAAGGAAAGAGCAAGTCTTGATTCCATTTTACAGGTAAATGATAAATTTATTCCTTAGCGTTTTTTGTGATGGTCATGGAATATCATGGAACATATTCTTTACATACACCTTTTTGCAGGAACGTTGTCATATAAAAATAAAGAATAGCAAAATAACAGATAGGAATTAATTATTTTTTAACGAAACTGGTGTAATTATTTCACTGTTTTTGAAGATATAGACTTAAATTTTTGATATTACTTTGTTAGTATACACCTATTTCAATGAACGTTGTCACCGTCAAAGGCGATAGGCTATAGGCGATAGGCGAGATTCGTTATTCCAGGATCCAAGAATAGCTGGAATGACTTGTGTTTCTGCTTCTTATTCTCGTTAAGAACATGGACCTTAGTGTTGAGACTGACTCAATGTTCTTTGTATTCAACGAAACCATTTCCGTCCCGGAATGACCTATCGCCTATCGCTTTTGGCCAGGACAACGTTTATTGAAATACTATATACTAAAACGTGTATACTAAAACAGTTATTCTTACAATCTAGGGAGCTTTAAATTTAAATCAAACGATAAAAAAATCTCTCATTTATTCTTTTCTAATGTTTTGTTATTCTTCTTATGACAACGTTTTTGCAATTAGCAGTATATAAAAAAATTGAAAATATATATTAGGAAGTTTATGTGTTTGTTTAGGTGTTTATATGTTTGTTGTTATTATGATCGGGGTTTTTGCTATTGCAGTCGCTTGCTTTTGTTGCAGCTGTTGCTACTACTTCTATCAGATGTTGTTTCACAAGTTGTTGCTGTCGTTGCAGTAGTTGTTTTAGTAATAGTGTGTCGTCATTACTGCTGTCTGTAGGTATTTTCAGTTTTCTTTGTGCAAGAAAAGATAATGTCTTTTTAAAATGTCAAAAAAATACTTAGAGTCGAATAAAATGCCAACGGATCTTCCAACAACTTGTCAAATACTACTGTCAATTGAAGACAATAGCTACATCCTTCTTCAAAAAGGTTTTCTTGCTATAACACTGTTATATCATGATTGTCTCTGCAGAAATGCGACTCCTTACACACAGACAACGAGATGACGTCACGGGAACGCTGCCAAGCCTTGTTATGGGAGTGCCAGGCTACCAAGGATTTAGACAAGCTAAATGTAAGTAAACTGAAGAAGAGCTTTTTGTTGACCGAGCCTGATAAGGTGCAGACAGGAGAATCAGTTGTCGAGAAGACCTCATCGTTGTTGTTCTTATCGTTATTGTTCGTATTGTAAGCGATATTGCGTCCAGAATTTTATGAGGACACGTCAAGGTCCTTCCCATTTCACTTGCAACATTTGTTCGGAAACCGGAAGAAAACTCTGGGAGAAAAATTTTTTGAATGGAACACATCACGCCGACAAAAGTATAAGAGGGTTTTTTCAGTTTTGTCCGATACAGCGAGGACACACTCGAGCCGTGAAAACGAGTTTTTTTTCCGACTTATTATTCACTGAACTTTCTACTGTTTCAAAGCCTCTAAAATGAAATACGGAACGTTCAAAATAAATCCTTCAGGATTAATTGCCTCAAGAGATGATTTACAGCATTTTAAAAAAGTGACGAAAAACTCGAAGTGTTCACGTTGCTATAGTTTTATGTATGTTTGCCTCAAGTACAGACCTTGCTTTCAAATAGGTTAAAAAACCACTTTAAACAAAGGTCGAATATATTTAAACAGTTATAAATTATCATGTAAACGGACGCGCAATTAATTTTTATCAAAACAAAACCAATATAAACTACTCTAGTTTACTCAGCATGTTTGCACAAAAAAATACTCAGCAACTCATAGGTCACGCGATAGGTTGTTGACTCTCGTTAAATTATGAAACTCATAAAATAAGATCCACTTGTAACTAACTTACATCTCGATTTGTTAGAATGACATGTTTAATTAGCGGACTTAAATAAGAAGCTGTACTCATGTTTTAATTGGTTTATAGTTGAAACTAGAGTAGGAATCGTGTACTTAGCCACCGTCACGGCTCGGAATTGACCGTATCTTTTGAATCACTGAGCACGAGATCGCTGTTTATCCAATCAAATTATGACGATTTTTCATTCTGAGTACCTAGGGATTTTTTTCTCCATTGTTTCCAATCAAAATTGGATAATGAAGATCCTTAAAGCATTGCTTTATAGCTATTCCAAGCTGATAATAATTACCTGGGTTTTTATATAATCGATTTATGAAAAAGTATCTTAATTTGCACAACAAAGGCTTTGTTTACCAGAAAATAGACAGAAAATAGGCCGTGGTTTTGTTTGCCCCTTGTTTATGCTACAATTGCTGACACATTAAAGTAAGAACCAAAGACGGTTAAAGTAAGCAAAGCCGGTTTTAAAATTCCGCTCTTAAAAAGATTATTAGTATACCATGAAAGACATTAGTATTTTAAGCAAAAAGCACTAAATGACAAGAAAATCTATGGCTCTCCATCATTGACCATATGATAAAAGCCATACAAAGCTCAAGATAAACACGCGCATTAAAAATTGATTTGTGAATTGGATGTGAAGTGAACTCCACTTTAATTAGACAAATAAAGCATGGAGGCACAAAGCATGTAGGAACATAAAGCGAGGCACGTTCGTGCTCTTCCTTATTGGAGTCAAAATCTATGATTTTTCGCACGTTTGATGCTTGTATCTCAAAACTGAACAGCTTTCTAAGTCACCGGCTTATTCAATTAATTCTTATCTACGTAAAATCATGGCTTAATGCGTGTAGCCTCAGAGGGGTAAGAAATGCAATTGGTTTGTTTGTTTTTATCTAACGATGATGACAGCTGAAGTTGTATGTACATGAAGCCAATTGAATTTAATTATTTCAAAGATAAGTAGACGTTGTTCACAAGATATGTGATCCGGATATTGTTTTCTTAGAAAATATCAGCCAAACAAGCTTTAAAGTTCAGCAATTGGTAAGCGTTTCCGCTCTAAAAAATGATGATACATTGTTGAAACGCTAAATATTCTATATGACGATATAAACAAAGTCAGAAACATTATCTTTCGACGATGAAAGAGGAAAAATGGCATCTCCTTTTCAATGGCAGACTCACTCATTAGATAATCGTTTCCATAAACGGTTTTTCAGGTTATGATCGTAAATGATGTGCTGCAACTGTTCATCAGATGATGTGATGATGTTCAACATCAGATGACTATTAAACTTTTTATCACTGGTTTAGACAACAGGAAATCGATCACCGTAGTAACAGGTTTACGATGTAGAATATTGCCCCGAATTGAACAAAATATAAACATTTTTATAGGGACTGAATTTTAGATTAAAATAGTAAATGGTGGTGATGGGGCAGGTGATGCCATTATGATAATGATAGTGATTGTGATGATGATGATAGTGATTGTGATGATGATGATGATGATGATAGTGATTGTGATGATGTTAGTGGTGGTGATTATGATGATAATGGTGGTGGTGGTGGTGGTGATTGCAATTGTGATGAAGATGGTGGTGGTGGTGGTGGTGGTGACGTTTGTGATGGTGATGATGGTGGTGGTAGTGATGGTGATGATGATGATAATGATGATAGTGATGATGATGACTATGATTATAATGATGATGGTGATGATGATGATAATGATGATAGTGATGATGATGAATATGATTATAATGATGATGGTGATAGTGATGATGATGATGATAGATGTCATCATTATTATTTAGTTATGACTTTGAAGATGCTAATGTGGCGGGCTAGTGAGTATTCTTTATTACCCCTGCTTCATATAGGTCGATAAGAAAGCAATCGTGGAATCAGAAAAGACAAAGGCACAGCACGCCATTTTGATGGGATCTGTTTCTGTTGCTGCTAACGTCAAAGGATTCCTTAAACAAGTAAGCATCCTAAATCAGTAACGTATTTGCTTAATATAAAGCAAAACCTTTTTATGTGTTAGGCTTTAAAATATACAAATTACTAAATACGCAATCACCAAAACGCTTTAACAAATTTGGTTTTAAGTCTTTTCGTTCTATAGACAAAGGGATTTTTGAGCTCGGTATATCGTGTGCTGCGCAAAGTCACTAAATTGTAATTGAGAAAAAAGCCGCTCGGACTGTAATTATAATGAGCGACTTAAATTTCTGAAAACCGCATTTAAAACTAAATATCCAGAACTCGATTTACTTGCTCTAAAAAATTGTGTTTGTTTTGATTGTTAAGATTATAAATATACATCAACAACTTTGGTAAAAATTTATGTACTGAAGTTATGCTTAATAGCTTCAATCAGTATATGAAAAGAAATTCACTAAAATATCAACAACTTTGTAAAAAAGAAGAAGAAAAGGGAAGCTTGAAAAATAAATGAGTTGTTGTATCAAATGATGGCAAATCTAATCTAAAAAAGGTTACTTCAATTTCATTTGAATGTAATGATTGCAAACAGAGATTTTGTTTTGAAAATCACTTGAATGAATTAGCTATAGACACATATCAAGCCAAAGAATCGAGGAAAAATAATGACATCCTCATTGATATTTTAAGGATACAAGAGAGAAGCAAAAGATAGCGGCACTATTTGTAAATCCGTAATGTTTTTACTCAATTAGTGATATTTGTGTGAGATATTTTGACCTCGCATTCCCCAGGACAGATACAACCGATCATTGAAAATACTAATATTGTCGTTAACTAAATATAAACAATAATTCTTGGACTGTGGTAGTGGGCGGAATGAGCTAGCCACATTGTTATTTTATTGCAAAACTGATTTTGTAACAAGAGACACCAAGTTGTCCTAAAAAACAATCCTTCATGGAAGGAAAAAGTTTTTGAAAAAATTCGATTTCCTCAGAAGAGAAACTTTGTTGGCTTTCATAATTCTAAAGTTGAGCTCGTTTCACGTTAGATGTTAAAGGTGAGCTGTGCAATGCTTTTTCTGATAGATAAGGATTCGATATTTTTAATTTTATATTGCCGGTCACTTCAAGAAAACAAACTATTGCCAAAATAGACTAATTCAGGGAAAAATACTAATTATTTTTGAAATACATTTAAAATTACTGATAATCTTCTCTTGACTAAAGGTTGAAAACACTTCCAATGAGAAAGAAAAACAGACTCAAGCATCTCAACGAGATATCAGATATTTTCTACGTTAAACGGCAAACGAAACTATATTGAAAACAAAATCTACTTCATCAAGATAGCTCAATAATTATTCTTTGAATATTTGATTTTATATTTCTACGAAGAGCGTTATTTGCCTTTGATGATATTTTTCTCAACGTTGCAAGGCTTCCTTTTACAGTTAATGCTCACTACATTTCAATTTCTTCCAGTATCGCGATTTTTCTCTTAAGTTTGAGTGGGAGAAAGCCGCCAATATAAACCCGTATTGACGGCTCAGAATTACCTCGCGATATTAGAATCGGGCGGTACAAAACTTTTTGCAGTTTAGTTTGAGTCGCCAAAACAGGTATATATTCATACTTATCGATTCATCGCTTCGGGATATATTTTCTCTCATCGCCGTCGATATATACCCGTATTGGCAGCTCAAGATCGCAATGATTTATAAATATTTTATAGTATTTGCTATAGATTTACATAGGTAAGTTTTTGATTTTGATTTATTTCAGGCTCAAGCTCCAGCTGAAGGAAAATTTGTGCAGGATACAAAACCACGTGACACCATAAACAAATCTCTTGAAACGGAACCTCAAAGCATTGAGCAGGAAATAGATCATAATAAGGATAAACAAACCAACCCCAAGGCTCCCTCGCCTGCTGGCAGTATGTTTTCACATTATCACAACCCAGCTGATCCGAGTATGGTGTTTACCCCGATCAGCGGTCACCCGAACCCTAACCATCAATCAAGCTTCCCAGGTGGCCAATCACAGACATCAACGCCAACCTTTTTCCCGATTGCTGTTCCTGTTCCAACTGCTGGAACCCCTCCAATGTGGTATATGACTCCTTCGGGAATGGTTCCATTTGGCCCCATGGGGCACCACCCTGGGTACTTTGTACCAGTGAACCAGGGATCTGCGTCATCTGTGGTGTCTGACAGTGAAATTAGTGGAATATGCGAGATGGCACCCAAAGAAATAAGTCGCGATTCTCACCCAAGCACACCTATGTCAGAAACAAGTCATGAATCTAGTGCATCAAAAACAACTCGAAGTATTACCCCTAGCACCAAATCCAAGATACCTCGTCCAATACGAGACCCTAATAGGCGTAGCCCAAGACCTCCGAACTCACACAAACCAAGAAATTCACCCAAATCCTTTACAACAACAGGGCCATCCGAACGTTCTCAAGTACGCAAAGGTATCAAAGAGGAAATCGATATTTCACCTATTAAAGAATCATTCAGAAGTACACATGAAAATAGTACCAAGACAAGTTCATATCGTTCTCATACTCCTCCCATTAGGCTAAGATCTGGAAGTGTTGAACTGGAACGAGAGGAACTAAGAAGACCCAGACCTCGCTCATCAACAGGATCGCTGGTTTCCACTCCCCCATCTGGAGAAAGGACATCACGGCCTTCTAGCCCGGTAACCTATGGCAACAGAAGTGAAAGATCTCGTCCTTCAAGCCCTAGTTTCTCAGAAGGACGTTCTGGCTCACGCCCGTCCAGTCCGGTGGGCTCTAGGTCATCCAGTCCTGTAGCAGCACTTATTTCAAGGTTTGAAGACTTGTCTACCAAACAACAACCCAGTGAACACTCACAGTCCGTTTCAAACCTTTTGTCAAAGTTTGGCTCGTCATCTTTATTGCCTGACGATCTGCTTACAAAAAAGCAATTCAAGGCCAACGCTCCTCAAACCAAAGAGCGTGATTATCATGGACGATCTGGACCTTTTAGACCTACCTCTGCTGCAGACCAATATTTAAATGAGTTGCCCACTGACACTGATGAAGCTCTGTCCAAATCCTGGCATGCAAAGCCTACACAAAAGCGATCGAGTCAAAATGATGCACCTTCTCTGAAGAGTGATGATTCTCCACCGTCTAGAAATCTCCGTAACAAAGAAACTAGCTCAAATCGACAAAGAACCCAAAGTTCTGATGGTGGTTTATCAATGCAAAACCGGAATCGGTTGGCTTTGTCTCTAGAAAACATCTATGGAGTTTCGTATGAGGAAGAGAAGCGGCAAACTACAGAGCAATATTCGATGGTGAGGAATCGTGAGAGGTCTTGGGCATCAATGGAAAATGTGCACAAACCAAGTAATGAAGAACAAAAAGTGGGCTACAGAATTAGGTCATCAACATCAGCAGAAAACCTTAGTAAAGAAGACACAGACATGGATCGTGCATCGAAGGATCTCGGGGTAGCATCCGTTAAATCTCAAGGACTCAGGAAATTATTGGAAGAAAATCTTTATGCAAAAGATAGAGGCATGAGCAAGGATAAACTTGCATTGAGTAAGAAATTATCCTTAGAGAGAACAGGACATGGTCTATTCGAATTCGGGAATAAGACAATTCCAATCATGAACGCAGACAATACCTATCCTGAATATTTAACAGACAAGAAAAGTGTATCCAATACTTCAGAACATAATCAAGAGTTAAATATCGGTACACTAGAAACTACGAAAGAATCAGTTTTTAAAACCAATGTTATGAAACCTGAAAGAGATTACCAACAAGACTATCCTAAAGAACTAGTTTCTCCTTCTGGTCGTTCGCGATTTGAAATCCCAGTAGCAATAGCTGTAATGGACGGCGAAAGAGAAATTATGAGTTCTAGTGCATTTGCCCCATCTTTATTCAGTCCTTCGTCTTCTATTAAAGATAAAGCGTTCTTTCAGCATCCCATAAAGCTGGAAAAAGAAACTGCCCCTCTGAGTCCACCAACACCTCTATCACCCTCGGTGAAAGACTGTAGACCAACGAGTTATTTTTCCAGTTTATCGTTTTCGGATATTGCGATGAAGCCGGAGAAAGATACAGCACTTGATCGGAACAGGAAAGATGATACAGGGCATCACCCTAGAGCCACATCATACCAAGTGGATTCTGATGGGGTTGGTGTTGAGCATCATGACAAGCAGAAAAAACCAGACATTATTGAATTGGTTGACAAAAATTCAAATATTGAAAACTTGGACTTTAACAATACTAGTTCTTCTAGGAAGAACATTGACAAAGGTGACTCCTCCTCAAGAAACCCCTTAGCTAATTCTAACGATTATTTGGAACGTTTTCAAAAGAGGCTGACGAAAACTAACTCATTGGAGAATATAAGACAAGACACGGAGAGTCAAATAAGCTTGGATTATAATGATTCCAAGCCAAAAGCCTTTGAAGACAATGCCCCTTCCACGAAACCTCATTTCACAATAAGAGAATCTGTTGGGAAATTGTCGGCTGACTCTTTAGGACATCCCTTAGAGAATTTTGGAACCATTCGTCAAGACAAAGGAACGCTTTCTTCATTGGATTCACAAGGTTTTCGTGGTACTAGAAGCTCTCAGACAGAAGCTGAAGGTAAAGGAATCAACAACGAGAGAAGCCCTAGTGACACTGGTGGAAAAGAAAGAAGCACTTCAAATGACACCCAACAAAGATCAAGACCATCGAGGGTAGATGAAACTTCAGCAACATCAACACAACAGCAAAGTACTCAGCCTGGTAGTAGTGCATCTTCTCAACCTTCGAGCGTAGCCAACACCCAAGGAAATCCGAAGCCACCTGCAAATAAGCCATCCAGCGTCCCTAACACCCCAACATCTGGCAGCTCGAAAAACTCTAAATTTTTTAGCTATACGAGACGACAAAGTTCTCCTCAGGTAACACCCTTGTCAGAAGAAAAGTCAGCGAAGCAAGATACTTCTAGCTCATCAAAGTTGCAGGATCGAAAGCTTACTAAACAAAGTTTCAAACCGAAAAGTCCTGCCCCTTCTACCAATCCTCGCGCAACTAGTCGTAATCGTCATTCAACCGCAGCCGAACAGAGCACTTTTGACTTTTCTGGAAAGGCTTTGCTAGAAAAGGTGGTAGGCAATGTTACTATTGACAAGCAGGTAAACTGGAACACGCGACATGAAAAGGTAGCCAAAACCCAATCAGTTCCTGTCAATGTTGAGCACATGCTGTCAAAGAAAACGCAAGACAATAATACACGAACCGATTCTTCCGACTTGACATCTTCAAAATGGGGAAACGTTAGGCAGTTGGTTTTAAGAAGCCCAACGTCACCGACTTCATCTAATTCATCTTCGTCATCATCTTCACCAAGGCTTCCTCTAAACAAATCTATGTTTTATTTTCCTCAAAGTGAAAGAGCAGAAAAACAACTCTCACCAACAGAACAGCTGAACAGCTCGGGTCAGAAGGGTTTTGTCATAACTGACACTAGTAGACAAAGTAAAGTGAAGAGTCCCAATACAGAAAGAAGCGACAATTTGGTTTATCAAAAAGACTCAAGTTCCTTGAACGAAATAGAAAAGAAGGAAAGGAAAAAGAAAAATGGGACTGTTGAAAAAACTAACTTTAAAAATCCTTCTGCAGGAGCCGATTTGGCAACTGAATTAAATGTCGATGAAACAAAATCCATGAAAAGTAAAGAAAAGAGTTCGATGATGAACAAGGTAGCTAAACTAACAACCAAAGCAGATAGTGTTAACATTGCTTTAGACAAAAAAGAAATCACTGCACGTGCAGAGAGTCAATCCTCAATTATTACACAACCGAGCAAGTACGATCATAACAATATGAACTTACAAAATGAAGACGTGAAAAATAAAGAACAAGGAATAGAAAAGAAGTTAGAGAAGAGTAGCCGTAGAAATTGTCACAACTCAGAAAATTTGGAAGAAATTGAGAGAAGTCCCGCAAGCAAAGAAAGTAATGCCGAAAGCGATAGTCAGGGGGAGGTTTCGAGCGAGAGGAGAGGTTCATTCGATCTTCGACAGATTTATAACTCTGCACGAAGAGCATCCCTCACACCTCGACCTGACACTGCATCCCCTAGATTATCGCCCAGTTCCTCTACCGCTAGTCGACCTAATTCTGCACTTGATAAAAGACCACCGTCACCAGGCAGACTAGACTCCAAGGAGCTTTTGGGTCATTTTGTTAAAAAGATGCTTAATTCAGCAAATGCAGCAAAACCCAATGGTGGCTCCCCAAGTTCTTCATTTGCTGACGGAGCCTCTCAGCAAAGTAGAGAGCCATTGAAAACGGACGTTTTAGGCAAATATGCGTTAAGTCC